GGTCTATCTATACAACTTTGCAAGAGACCAGATCAAGGAACGGAAATTCCTTCCATCTTGGAAAGGTCCGTTCTCTATCATTGATAAAAAATCTCTCCGGTCGCATATAAATTGCAGGTTACCCGGTATGGTGAAATCAGTGATAGATGGGTGCACATCAATCAATTAATTACGTGCTTGCCATCCGAAGTCTCAATTGCAGTTGTTGGAAGACTAACCCACCAGTTCCTGTCTGGAGATATTGAGATCATTATTAAATTTCCTTTAAACATATAATTCATCTTGTTCCTTACAGGATCCAGTAATATAATTTTATGTATATCCAATACTTAAACTGTTCACTTTAATAATTTAGAAAGGAAGGCCCAGACTGTGATCAGACCGGCGATCGGAGGTGTCAATGACCAGACCCTAGAAGGAAGCTATAATGTCCTGTGGGAAAGACCAGATGCCAGAGATCGATCCGGAGACGATAACCTGATGTCCCAGGCCACCAAGGGCCAGTCCAGAGGAAAAGACCCGCCTAGGAGACCGTCTAAGAGACCTGTCGTGCGGAGGACCCATGGACCCCAAGGTGGATGTGCCAGGCCAGGCCGGCCTCATCACAAGACCAGGATCGTCATCAGAAGTGTCCATCTAAAGACGCCGAGTCAAGTTGAGGACCAACCAGCATCACCGCTGCCATTTTATTTATAAAAAAAAAAAAAAAAAAAATTTTTTTTTTTTTTTGAATTTCATTCACTTCACTGGAGAAGACGAACAATCACTCTAGCCAAAGGTCCCACTCATGTTTTGCGACACAGACACCCATCTACACGTGCCTGTACCCCAAAAAAGGGGGATTTGTTGTGGGCCTTTTGAATTATGTCTCAAAAACATGATTTATCAAGACATAATCCTATATAACATCAAGTCAGCATAGCCGGATGTTAAGGGGTTAATTTGTCTTGGTTGGAAAGTCGAATGACCATCTAGCTAGAGAAATGTAATGGATGAAGGGATTTTTTTCTTTCCTCCTAGAGACAATACTATTTTGAAGTTCTACAGGTGATCAAACACCATTATTCAGACTTCTATAGCAGGAAAAAAACATATACAAGGTCTGGACATGACAATAGAGGAACCAAACTGATTGTCTGAGAGCTTACCCAAACCTTGCAGAGTGTGATGAACCAACAGACCTCTGAAACTATCACAATATACTATTGTCCACCAAGGGTGAAAGCATTAACAGTTGTTTACCATGATTCCAAATACAAGAGCCAGGCAAACAGAGAGTTTTTCCCTACACATAGAAAATGTTGATTCTAAAACAAAGAAGTGAAATTCAGGACATTTAAGTCTAAAAATTGACTGTATATAATTACAAAAAGATATACTACAAAAACATATTATAAATGAGATGTTATAGGTTTTTATACACCACTAAATATTCAGCAATGGGAACTATATATCACTAACTTGAGTATTGAGATGATGGAAAGTAAGATGTATTATAAACTAGCATTAGTTACATGTCTTATCAGGAAACAAACAGGATGGTATTTCAAGAAGGAATAACTGAATATACACCTATATTCCATGGTCCCTATTTAGAATATTATAGGTATGATCACTTATATCTGGAAAAAGACGTATATTTGATCCCTGAAATTACCTTAAGATTCCACCCGAGGTATGAGTCATCTCAAATACTCAAATTGTTCTATGATACATGACCGCCACCTGGCGGGCAGGTGAGAAAATAGCTTATGTACACACATTTCTCAACTAGCCAATCAGGAAGCCTGGTGGGAAGGTATCTTAGAACAATGAATTAGTTGGTATAAAAGCCCTTGAACCTCATCAAGAAAAAACCTCATCAAGAAAAAACTCATCAAAAGAAAAGACCTCAGCAAAAGAAAACCTGACTGAAGAAAGACCTGATTCTGAATAACTACTCTTCCATACTTTCAAACTTCCTAAAACTTTACTAAATTTCTAAACCTCTAACCTTATAACTTTCCTACATTCTCCCATACTGAATATCTATCACTTGCCCTATAATATCAGTCTAAAGGCGTTCCACTGCCAGCTAAATCCACGGGAGAGTTGCCTAGTCTGAATGCCGGGTGCGGTGAGATTGTTTATTTGATTTTGTATTACCTATTTTCTCTGTTGTGTGGAATCATAAAATTACCTTAGTGTATCACAACAATATTGGGTAGTTAGATATATGTAGAGAGATCCTGTTTTACTGTTAAAAATTGTTTGTTGCCATATTATAATTTTTTTTCATATTTCATAATTTATTGAATATTAATAATCAGAGTATAATATATCAAGGGCTAGCTTCTTGCAATCCTATGGCCACGGCTTGTGAGAATATAACCTTTGAGATACTCAAAATTATTAATTATTAATAAATTTAATAAATAATCAGATCATTTAAAAATTTGTGATATTGATGTAATTAGTCAGAGACCTTATTATTGTGTCTTACATTGGTAGGATATATTTTGATTGTGTGTACCAATATTCATTTATCACCAGTCTTTTGCGTTTTGTGTTAATATATATATAATTTTTTGTACATAAATACATTTTTTATATTTATCTATTATAAGGCAAATTTTGTGTGTATGGTACGAAATCATATTGGCTAAAAGAATTCAAGGTATAATAATAAGTGGTGATCAAATTATCAAGGTGTCCAAATTATTGGTTTACTAAATATTTGCCGTATTTTAACGGCTGGAGGCACTGTAATATTTCATCTAAGGGAAAGGGACACGCCCTTTATAAATAGAATATATCCTTACATAAACCACCACAGTATTCACACCTATTATTATACAGGATTTTATATAGCACCAACAGTTTGTGCAGAGCTTTACAATATAAGGGAGACAGTACAATTACAACACATTTCAGTACAGAAGGAATAGGAGGGCCCGGCTCGTGGAGCTTACAATCTAAAGGAAGGGGGAGGTGATATAAAAGGTGATAACTGCGGGGGATGATCTGGCGGAGGTGATTCAAGTACAGTAAGAACAGAAGGAATAGGAGGGCCCTGCTCGTGGAGCTTACCGGTCAGCCCCCACCCTGTCTGCCTTTAGGCGATCTTTGAAAAACTCACTTCTTCAGGGGAAGCCTACCCCACCTCCACCTCCACCTAAGAAGGTGGAGGTGGGGTAGGCTTCCCTGAAGAAGTGAGTTTTCAAAGATCGCCTAAAGGCAGACAGGATGGGGGCTGACCGGACATGCTGTGGTAGGGAGTTCCAGAGGATGGGAGAGGTTATCCTAAGTCATCAACCAGTGTTATAGTGACCATTGTAAATAATAAAAGGATGTCCATTTCAAAGGAGTTGTAGGAACCAGAGGTGGACTGACCATTTGGAAACTCAGGCAGTGCCCGAGGGCCGGGGGTCAGTAGGGGGTCCCATGATCCCCTGGTATCTTTTTCATAGGTTTTTTTGAGTTTGGGCAAGGACACAGGGGCCCCATGATCCCCTATAGCCCGGGGGCCCCATGAGTTGTCAGTCCGCCCCTGGTAGGAACATAACGTGAAAGAAAAGAGATGGTGTATTTCCATAATAAAAATACAAGTCTCTGGTAGAGAATACAGCAATCCCAGGAATAGAGGGAGAGTAGACATGTACGTTTCATTTCAATTCATTTTTCAGACACAAATTTGATATTTGGAGATTCAATATATATAAATCTCCAAATAGACATAGTAATGAATGTCAATGAATAAAAATTAAATCAAAATAATTATAGCGAAATGAACAAATGCATTTGATGATGACACATGATGCGATAGCAGTTTGGGTCCATGGGGAAATTAATTGCATTTTCAAATTTTGTTCGATGATTTGGATTCAGATAACAAATAGATCCAAATTTCAATCCATTTATTGATTCAGATGCCTATGACAGTGGCTGTTGTTCAATCAGCTCATGCCATTCCTTTGGTGGGTTGGACTAGCGTCCGAAAATATTGAATCCTTCCGATTCAATTCCATCTGATTTGATAATATATTGAATCTATACCAAAATATGCATAATTTTTCGAATCCATCCAGACCAATAAATATAATAAATGAATGCTGTAGATACAAAACTAATTGGTTCAACATAACAAGTATGACAAAAATTAAATTCAATAAATGAATGCATCTGAAAAAAAAACAAAAATGGCATGCACATGTCTAAGGGAGAGTGAGAAAAGAAAAGGGAAAGAAGATAAAGGGTTCCAGGAAAGAGTTAGGGCCAGATAGCTCCACCCGCTGCTGGATCCACTCAAGTTGGAGGTTGCATTAGTTTCCAAATACACTGGACCCCTAGGTCCCTTGTTTAATCAAATTGGTCATCATTGGTTATCATTGATGATCCCAGCAATTTTTTCATGGTTGCTGTGGGATTTTGAATTCGGTAAAGCGCTGGAGCAACCAAAGGCCTCATTCCAAAAAACTCCTAATCCTGGGGCATTCTCACCAGATATATCACATTGAGCCCCTTAAGGCACATCCTCAAAAACAAAGCAGAGAGGTACCCAATACATTCCTGTAAGAACAAAAATGAACTAGGTACCACCTCGACAGAAATTTCACATTTGCTTCTATCAATGATACACTTAAAATGCCATGAAAGGAGGATTGAAATTTGAGTATACCACTTTAGGAGATTTAACACATTTTACTCTAGTTGCACTACTAGTTTTTTCAATATTAAATCTTTCATCACTTGTACTTTCAAGAATGTAGTGTATCTTATCCAGTGCCCATGCGGCCTCCGGTATGTAGGCCATACTGTTCGTACCCTCCAAACCAGGTTGCTAGAGGTTGTTTTTTTCTTGGGAGAGGGCATGTGATCAGCACAGGGCCAATCAGCACTTTCCAGACAGAGGGTCAGGGGTTCTGTATCCTCCTAGAGCAGAAGAAAGCTTCTTCTACAAGCTTTAACCAGTGCTTTGCTGAATTCACAAGACTGCACTAACTGCTGATGAGAAAAGGTATTTAGCAGTTTATAGTTTACTAAAATAATTACACTTCCATGTTGTGTGTACTGTGAGAGACCAGATATAGTGAATGCAGGGTCCTAGGAGACCAGATATAGTAAATGCGGGGTCCGGGAGACCAAATATAGTGAATGCAGGGTCCTGGGAGACCAGATATAGTGAATGCAGGGTCCTGGAGACCGGATATAGTGAATGCAGGTCCTGGGAGACCGGATATAGTGAATGCAGGTTCCTGAGAGACCAGATATAGTGAATGCAGGGTCCGGGCAGACTGGATATAGTGAATGCAGGTCCCTTGGAGACCAGATATAGTGAATGCAGGGTCCAGGGAGACCGGATATAGTGAATGCAGGGTCCAAGGAGACCAATATAATGAATGCAAGGTTCGGGGGGAGACCGATATAGTGAATTCAGGGTCTGGGGAGACCAGATATAGTGAATGCAGGGTCCTGGGAGACCAGATATAATGAATGCAAGGTTCGGGGGGAGACCGGATATAGTGAATTCAGGGTCTGGGGGAGACAAGATATAGTGAATGCAGGATCCTGGGAGACCAGATATAGTGAATGCAGGGTCCGGGAAACCGAATATAGTGAATGCAGGGTCCGGGGAGACCAGATATAGTGAATGCAGGGTCCTGGGGAGACCGGATATAGTGAATGCAAGGTTCGGGGAGACCGGTATAGTGAATTCAGGGTCCGGGGAGACCAGATATAGTGAATGCAGGGTCCGGGCAGACTGGATATAGTGAATGCAGGGTCCTGGGAGACCAGATATAGTGAATGCAGGGTCTGGGGGGGAGACCAGATATAGTGAATGCAGGGACCGGGGATTAGTAACACTTTAAGTCCTCTTATGACCTTTGTTTCATTTCCTATATCGAGTACTCCTTCTGGTCTTTGGAGAGCATTGAAGTCAAGTGGAAAGAGTTCTTCCCCCTGTATATATATACAGCACGATGTCCAACACAGTCCATGCCCCTGACAACGTCATTAATGCCAAAGCACGTAGGGTGGAGTCACGGCGTGTCATTGTGCATTGGGACACAGCGGCCATTTTTCTGGTTTGAAACTCTCCATGGACATATTGAAATGCCAATTTTTATGTGTCTGAATGTGAGTGCATGATATAACTTAAAAAATGGTTATCCTCGATTTTTTACACTATGAGATGGTTCTGTTCTCTCTCTGACTTCTGCCTATTGAGAGTACTTTTGACCACTGGATATTGGACTACCCATTGAGTCTGAGAAGTTGAATGCAAGCAGGTAAAGTTAACAGATGATCCATTGCTGGAGTTGAGGTCCAACTGCGCTTTTTGACCGATCCTTTCTCTAGGTGGTAACATCTTTATGGTAAGAGGCTGTCTATGTGGTTTAAAGGTAAAGGTCTTCTTGTTCATTATCAGGTCTCTGTGAGCACCATGAACTATAGGTTGATCTACAAGGGCTTCATGGACATACTATATCACCAACCCTAGCTGTTTTGCACCTATTTTCTGTTTTTTTCTTTATCGGGGTGCGTTGCACCTTATCTGAATAAGTCTGTCTATGTATATCTATAATTAATAACACTGCACTGTTTTTATAGCACTGTGTGTGGGTCTGAATCTGTGGAAAGATATCCACAGATATCAAAAAATGCCCTGGTAAGGAAGGGGGTAAAATCCTCCAGAGCTTAAGTGGTTAAAGGCTAACCCCATGTTTTTCTCCATGTTACTCCTGTATTTCAGATGCAACATGTTACAAATGCCTAGAGATCTGTGAATCAATAAACTACAAGCCCCACCGACTTATAGTTCTCAGTGGGACACAAGGGTGGCACTCTTCCCACTCATAGTCCATTGACACTTCCTGCAGTCCTTCAACTGAAAGTCTGCCTGGGAGCTGGAGGAAGAGTCTGCAGGAGCTTGGCATTGCCCCCATGGTTCACTGATCGCAGGTGCAATGGTCCCTGCAAGCTAAATAAATAAATGCACATTTTATCCTGCAAAACATATATGCATTCATTATTTTTTGGCCCTTGATTTTTTTTATCCATTGTGTATATTACCTCTGAAATCTGCCATGAGCTTTCTGGAAAGATTTTCACATTCTCAACTTGATGAGAATTGAAAAACAAATTGATATTGATCAGATGAAGGTTGAACACACATTGCATTTATTAGAAAAAAAAATGCACAGTGCTACAGGGAAAGGGTAGGAGGAATTAAAATGCTAATTAATGCACCTATTTTCTGATATATTTTGCTCATTTCCAATCTGTAGCTGTGATCTATTCAGTTTACTGGGGAAATTAAAAGCGAGCAGCAATACCTATAAATCGATTTTTTTTTTCTGCATTTCTAAAAAAAATGCATATTTTATGCTATGCAGCAACTGAACAGTTTCTGCCTTTCCTATTCTCTCCATTGTAACCCGCTTTCCTTAGAGCAGTGGTCTGCAAACTGTGACCCGGGGGCTGGATGGGGCTCTTTACTAGCTTTTATGTGGCCCTTGGGCATTATTACCCCCTCCCTGTCAGCAACAGTGAGGCATAGTACCTGCCACTGACACTGACAAAAGGCAACAATTCCCTCTTATTGATACCAATGCTAGGGCACTATTCATTCCCACTGACACCAATGATGGGACACTATTTCCTCCCACTGACACCAATGATGGGGACACTATTCCTCCTATTGATACCAATTATGGGGCACTATTCATCCTCACTGACACCATGATTGGGGCACTATTCCTCCTATTGACTTACTGATTCAGGTGGCACTAATTTCTCCTAATGATATCAATGATGGGACACACTATTCCTCCGACTGACACCAATGATGGGGCACTATTCCTCCGACTGACACCAATGATGGGGCACTATTCCTCCGACTTGACACCAATGATGGGGCACTATTCCTTCCCACTGACACCAATGATGGGGCACATCTCTTGATCCATCCACTGACATCAATGATGGGCACCTATTCCTCCTACTGACACCAATGATGGGCACTATTCCCCCCACTGACACCAATGATTGGAGCACTCATTCCTCCTATTGATACTGATTAATGGGGCACTATTTCTCTCCTATTGATATCAATGATGGGGCACTATTCCTCCCATTAAATACCCAATGATGGGGCACTCATTCCTCCCACTGATACCAAAGATGGGCACTATTCCTCCCACTGATACCAATGATGGTACACTATTCCTCCCACTGACACCAATGATGGGGCACTATTCCTCCTACTGACACCAATGATGGGGGCACTATTCCTCCAATTGACAGCAATGATGGGGCATTATTCCTCCAAACTAACACCAATTGACATGGGCATTTTTCCTCCTATGACACAACCAATGAAGGCACTATTCTTCCCAAGGACACCAATGATGGGGCTTCATTCCTCCCATTGACACCAACGATGGGCACTATTCCTCCCTACTGAACAACAACAATGGATGCTATTCCTACCACTGACACAACAAATGAAGGCATTATTCCTCCCCACTGACACCAATGATGGGCACTCTTTCTCACACTGATGCCAATGATGGGGCACTATTCCTCTCACTGACACCAATGATGGGGGAACTATTCCTACCACTGACAACAATGATGAGGGCATTATTCCCCCCACAGAGACCAATGATGAGGCACTCTTTCTCACACTGATGCCAATGATGGGGCACTATTCCTCCCATGGATACCAATGATGGGGCACTAATACCTCCCACTGACACCAATGATGGGCACAATTCCTCCATTAATACCAATAATTGGGGCATCTATTTCCTCCCACTGATACCAATGATGGGGGCACTATTCCTCCCACTGATACCAATGATGGTACACTATTCCTCCCACTGACACCAATGATTGGGCACTATCACCTTCCTACTGACACCAATGATGGGGGCACTATTCCTCCAATGTGACAGCAATGATGGGCATTATTCCTCAAACTAACACCAATGACAATGAATGATTTTCCTCCTATGACACCAATGAAGGGGCACTATTCTTCCCAAGGACACCATGATGGGGCATTCATTCCTCCCTATTACTGACACCAACGCTATAGGGCACATCATTATTCCTCCCGCTAACAACAACAATGGATTCTATTCCTACCACTGACAACAATTGATCCTTCATTATTCCTCCCACTGACACCAATTGATGGGGCACTCTTTCTCACACTGATGCCAATGACCAATGGGGCACAATAGTCCTCTCACTGACACCAATGATGGGAACTAAATTCCTACCACTGACAACAATGATGGGGCATTATTCCTCCCACTTGAGACCAATGATGAGGCTATCACTCTTTTCTCACACTGATGCCAATTGATGGGGCAACTATTCCTCCCATGGATACCAATATTCTGGGGCACAATTCCCTCCCAACTGACACCAATGATGTGGGCACTAAACTTACCCACTGATACCAATGATCTTTGCACTATTCTTCTTTCCCACTGACACCAATGATGGGCACTATTCCTCCCACTGACACCAATGAGTGAGCACTTTCATTCTTCACCACTTCTAACCAATGTTCTTGGGACACTATTCCTCCCTCTAATACCAACGGATTGGGGCACTGTTTACTGAATGCCGAGGGAATTTCTTCTCCCACAGCCGACAGTCCGACCCCCCCAAAAGTATTGAAGGACAATAAATGCACCCTTTGTTTAGAAATTTGAATTAGAGTGCTAACTGATGGCCATTTTAAAAGCAGCGAGTGAACTCCAGATAAACTGGATCCACTGAAATACCCAGCTGAAATAGATATATAGGCAGTGCTTTTTTACCATCAGGAACGTGGGGAATGCAGTTGCGTCACCTCCATCCACAGAAAGTATGTAATGGGCTAGGGGTACTGGGGTGTGTTTGAGTACCCTATTATGCTGGCTTGTAGAGGATCAGTTGTCACTCCGGGGATTTATTGTTGCAGGGGGTCTATGATTGCTGATGTGAGGTGGAATCTATTGTGGCTTAAGGGGAGAATACTTTTATTGCTGCTGGAGAGTGTCCTTATGATGCTCTAGTGGAGGGATCCATTGAATGCTGGCTGCTGCGGAGATCTAAATTGTTGAGGAAGAGAGGGATCTAGTTTTTTTCTTGGGGTGATCTAATGTTGCTGAATGCATGGGATCTATTATACTGCTTTTTTTGCTTATCATTACAAGTTACCTAGCACCACAAAATTATATTGGTTCTGTATTCTCTAAAAGGGCTATACTGGGAGCCTTTTGGCTAGGGGAGGGACCAAGGACTGAGCTCAAAGGTTTCTTTAAGCTTGTGGGCGGAGACAAGGGTTACTCAGAAAGGGGAGTACCCCGCAGCCTATTCTCTGAGACAAAAGAATCCCTGTATATTGGCAATGTCCTCTTACTTGTCAAAGACTTGTATTTTTTTTACATCCATGTCCAGTGAGATTCATACAGCCCTGCCAGAAAGCAAAGTTAGGTAGGCGACCTGAATTTTTTCAACTACAGTAAGGACTTACTGTAGTCCTTTACCTTGGCCATGGAACGCTGAGAAGCCAAATGTCCCATTAACTTTTTGGTCCGTGCTTAAAAAAGTGGGAGGCACATATGCAAACTGTTGTAATTCCCTACAAAAAACCCGTTCACCTGATTTGATGTAAATAAACCCCTGAAAATTAAAGCTGACAGGCAGCTTTAAAGCACATCTTGTTTGTTTCATTTCAAATCCATTGTGCAATTAGTATAGAGCCAAAAATGTTAGAATTGTGTCTAATGTCGCCAATATTTATGGACCTGACTGTAGCATCAAAGTCTACTGACACCACCCATTTTCTTAC